CCGGTAATAGCCATTTGTACTGAAAGGATATCCAGTACTGGTCCGGTCAGGGGGGAGCTCCTTTGAATGTAAACATGCTGCAATAATAAAGTGCTGCAATAATAAAGTATAGATGTTGTGAATCAATCATAAAAAAGTTTGCTAAAGCATAAATATTATCTTATAGTGGTGTTATAAAACCAACTATAATTTATAATAATTAGTGAATACATTAAAGTGCTAAGTGCTTAAAGTGGTGATCTTTTCTTAAAGTGGTATTGATTAATAGTATATTGTGGTGATAATTCTAAGGATTTTGAATGGTATTTGTCATGCCAAAAGCATGAGTTGGTGTTTGATGTGTGTTTATATATGTTGAGTTGTTTTTTTGTAAACCTTGGGATGACGTTTATTATGGTCTTTGATCTTGCACCAGGCCTAGACCATAAAACATCTAGATAGCCATCACCAGAGCTGGACACAAGGAATTTCATAGAGTGGGCAATAGACTGCCAGACCAGCCCCCTCTGATCCCCCCCCAGGGGTCTGCCCACTGAGAAAGAACTAGTTTAGATATATGAGGGTGTTGGACTATCCAGGGAAGTCAGTTATTCATTTTTCTTTTGTCAGTAACTTCTAGGAGATCTATACCATCTAAGACTCCCACAAGAATTCTATATGGGGTAAATATATGTAAGGAATTTCTTGTGTTTTCTCCTATTTTATTTTATGTACTGTTTTGCAATTTGTTATCTGTATGTCATTTATTTCTGTATTTTGTACTCAGCACTGTGAATCCTTTTGTCAGATTAAATGTTTACTTAATCAGCTTGTGTCTCTGTTCTCTATGAGCTTCACTCTCCAGAGGAAAGCTCAGGTAAACACGTTACCAAAAGGGTTAACTATATATGTTTTATCAGTAAAAGTAGAACTGTGATACTATAATTCTCCTGTGTGTGGGGTAACCTAAGACGCCCGGGTTTAAAAGTCTTGGTGGTGGCAGTAGAGTAGAGTGTATTAAGGGGGTTAGTGTAGAAGGGATTGCAGGGGTTAATTGAGTGGTTGCTGGGACTAGCAACAGGTAACCAGGGGTCTGGTGTCATTAACCCTGTCACTTCCACACTCTCCCCACTGTCTCGGCTGGGCCTATAGCCCACGCACGTGACAAACTGGCGGCAGCTAGTGGGATATATTTAGAGATTTTTAGTGCTTGCTAGATTTTACCTGTAAAGGGGGTCTTAGCACTAAAAGAAATTGCATACTTGTTTTTGTGTAATTTCCAGAGACCAAGCTCAGTGCTGATTTAAAATACATACAAAGTGCAAAACAGTTCTCCCCTCCCATCTTTTGTTTTTCTTTCTCTATCCTATTTTTGAATATGGAGGCCTATCGCAAACAATCAAAAGAGGCCTTGGAATTGTTGTGCCAAGAAAAGAATTTACCAACTTTTGGCAAAAATAAGGCACAACTTATTGCTGACCTTGTGGAGGCTGATAGCCATATTTTCCAGCCAGAGACAGATACTGAAAGGGTTACCGAGTTCCCTACTACTGCAGGAGTGTTGCTTACTGAAATGCCTGGTGGTTGTACCCCTCAAAACATTAAGGACATTTGCTCAACTGATTTATTTCGGCAACTGATGGCTGCAAATCCTCAGGAGGCCCTGCATGTGATGATCCAACAGCAGGCTGCAGAAAGGGAATCTGCAGAGAGGCTAGCCGAAAGGGAAGCGCAAAGGCATGCTGCAGAAAGGGAATCTGCAGAGAGGCTAGCCGACAGGGAGGCACAAAGGAGACATGAGCTGTAACTTGCTAAACTGCAATTTACCCTTCAGTCCTCACTGAACAGCAATGCATCAGAGTCCAGCACACGCAGGCTCCGTAAGGATGATTTTCCTTACCTCGAAGAAGGGACAGATTTGGATGTATTTTTTTTTTTTTTTTTTATTCTTTATTTTTGATGTGCATGAGGGTAACAAGCATTCTCGCTGTGCCACAACAGCCCTAGCGAGGTAAGAGTAGACTATGATGGTAACAGTATAGGCATATTGATATAACAGTGCACATTTTGGTTTTTATGTAAGGACATAAGAGTAAATATGTTTAACATTTCGAGTGGGTTAAGAAACATTCTATAGGTAAGCGCCACTTCAGCATATCACCAGTGTCCACATTAATCCGACAGTGGCATGGTAGGTATGTCATTCAAGTGAGGTTAAATAAAAGAGAAACAACATTTTTCCTAGAAAACAAGCGCTGATAGCATGCATCATGTAGAGCCATATACAGTTAGTCACGTATAAAGTGTAGCTAAGAAGTAGACAGGTCTGATAAATAATGTGATGATACCTAGCCGCAATAACCAAGCGCTGTCCTGCAACTAGTTTAGCTTAAAGGGGACAGGATAAGTTACCATATCACCTGCCGTCTCTGGTGTGTGTCAGTTCTGAAGAGAAATCATAAACTTTATACAATATAGCGAATAAAAAAAAAAAAGCAAACAAAAAACTTATGGAAAAGGAGATTCATATGAACCCCAGAACCGTAGGTGAAATATTAGTGGGTAATGTCCCATTGGAGCCTGGATAGTCCTGCGCCACCTCATGTTGTGGCCCCCGCATAGGCATCCGAGCGGGCCCTCTGAGGGACAAACGGGGTGACTCTAGTGGGGTCCCATGTGTGCGTCGTAGCCGTATTGCTTATGCCGTGTTGGGCGAGCGCGTCTCGTGGGAGGCCGATGGTTTCCAGCATGGCTGCCGCCTCTTTCAGGTCCCTGACCGCGTGTACCGCATCCTCTTTCAGGATGTGGAGTAGCCGCTGTGATCTCCAGCGATATGGGATAGCATGGGTGCGTAGCAGTGAGGTGAGTGGTTGGAGAGTTTTCCTCCATTTCAGGGTGTCCCCAGATAGGTCTGAGTAGAACGTGAGCGCCATGTTTTCAAAGGAGAGTGGCGAATTCCCTTTGGTTGCTGCCTGCACCGCTGCTTTCTCCCTGCTGCTGCCGAATCTAACAACCAGATCCCTGGGTGCGGTCTCGGGGGCCTTCTTAGGCTTCGGTATGCGAAAGATCCCGTCAGTCATAATGCCTTTTGCTTGCTTGGGCGTAAGTAGTGACCCTAGCAGCCTTCTCACCAGATGCGGGAGTTCCGCATCTGGGATCGCCTCTGGGACACCCCGTATCTTGAGATTCTTTCGGCGCCTGCCATCTTCCATCACTGCCAGGCGTTGTTCCAAGGTGGCTTGCTGTGCCCTGAGGGTCCCTATTTCCCCCGAGAGAGTGGCGATTGTCTGGGCTTGTTCGTCTGCTGTCGCCTCCACTGTCCCCAAGCGGCCCACCATGCCCGTTAGATCTGCCCTGAGTGATGCCATGTCGGCTTGCAAAGTGAGCTGGAGGCTGTGTAGAAGCTCCTTCAGAGTGGCATTTGTCACCGGAGCCGAGTCAGCATTCTTTGGAGCTGTCTGGGGCTGTGGCGTGAGGGGAACTCTAGCGGATCCCATCCCTAGTATTGAATCCTCTGAGGAGTCTGAGGCTGAGTATTCGTCCATATCGGCGGCCATCTTGGGCCTACCCACTCCGTGGGCCTGCCGGAGCAGATCCCCTATGTTCATGCCCGCTTTGGGCTTGTCGGGCTTTTGTTTTTTCATCTTGCGGCCCATGACCACTAGTAGCACTTGTGGTCCGGTTTGCCGGCGGTGGTAAGGGGTTTGAAATCGCCAAAATACAGCGGTGATTGTCGGAGCTCATCCGACATGCGTCCGTCTCGATCAGCAGCTTGGCCCCCTTGGATGTATTTTTAAAAAGTTTTGAGAAAGTATGCAGGCAGCATCAACTACCCTCAGACCAGTGGGGCAGATATTTAACTCCACAACTGAAAGGGAAAGCCTTGGATGTGTTTGTGTCCCTTCCCCCAGAGACTGATAACAACTATGAGGCAATCAAATCTGCATTGCAAAAAACTTTTAATCTTACTCCTGAGTCTTACAGGAAAAAGTTTAGGAGTATGCAGCAATGCCCATCATCCAGCTGCATTCTATATCTTGCACAATTAGAAACCACGTTCCGGCAATGGGTAACAGGAGTACAAGCTACTACCTATGAAGCCCTTAATGACTTACTGGTCCTGGAGCAGTTCTTGCAGACCCGGAGCCCTAATGTACGAGAGTGGATTTTGGAAAGAAAGCCAAAAAATGCTAGGGCTGCTGCAGAACTGGCAGATGACTATGCCGACATCCATGCACCCACATCCAGGCGTGGACTTGTGTCAGCTGCTACTTTGACCTGGAGAGAAGCTACAGTTCAATCACCACCTGTAAGATCTGCAGTGAGAACTTCACCGCCGACTGCCAGCGTAGCCGGGGCTATGTCAAGTGAGTCAGATGCCCGCCGTTGTTTTCGATGCAACCAGATTGGTCATCTGAGCAGGACTTGCCCCACTAGGAATATGCCCTCACCAGTCCCGTGGAGGGGCACCATCAGTATTGCTTGTGGGTGGGTCCGTGGGGAAACGAGAGGATAACCTGCAGAGTGTAATTGTGGGTGACCGAGTGACCATGGGACTGAGAGATTCTGGAGCTTCCGTCACCCTGGTGCGACCTGAAGTGGTGAATCCGGAGGACATAATCCCTGGAAGAACCATGTCCATCAAAGGAATTGGGGGTGTATGCCCCGCTGTGCCCTTGGCACGTGTGTACCTTGATTGGGGTGCGGGCAAAGGTTTGCGGGAAGTGGGGATTTCAGAGGATATCCCTGTTAATGTTCTGTTGGGGAATGATTTGGGCAGGATGCTCTGTCACTATGCTCCAGCGGACACTGTTTGTGAGCCAGAAGGGCTGACTGCTCCACCTAAGGTATTGTGTGAAACTTTGGGAGACATTGTGAAGTGTGATTGCTGGGAGGGAGAGCAGGGTGTGGATAAAGATCTACCTGTAACTGAACCAGTGATGTCTACCAAATGTGAGATAGGGGTGAGTAGTGATGTGCCTGTATTAAAATACTGTGAGGCTGGGATGTCAGAGAGTAAGGGAGAGGAGGAAGGTGAGAGCCAGGGTAACAAGTCAGCAGTGGTAACAAGACTTGTTACCACTGCTGACTTGTTACCCTGGCTCTCACCTTCCTCCTCTCCCTTACTCTCTGACATCCCAGCCTCACAGTATTTTAATACAGGCACATCACTACTCACCCCTATCTCACATTTGGTAGACATCACTGGTTCAGTTACAGGTAGATCTTTATCCACACCCTGCTCTCCCTCCCAGCAATCACACTTCACAATGTCTCCCAAAGTTTCACACAATACCTTAGGTGGACCAGTCAGCCCTTCTGGCTCACAAACAGTGTCCGCTGGAGCATAGTGACAGAGCATCCTGCCCAAATCATTCCCCAACAGAACATTAACAGGGATATCCTCTGAAATCCCCACTTCCCGCAAACCTTTGCCCGCACCCCAATCAAGGTACACACGTGCCAAGGGCACAGCGGGGCATACACCCCCAATTCCTTTGATGGACATGGTTCTTCCAGGGATTATGTCCTCCGTATTCACCACTTCAGGTCGCACCAGGGTGAAGGAAGCTCCAGAATCTCTCAGTCCCATGGTCAGTATAGTCACGGCTGCAGAGTCTGAGGGGCTATGTGAGATTGCGAGAGGATGGCCTGCCTTGGAGAAGAAATTATGTGAGTGTGTGCAAAATTCTGTATCTGATCAAGGGGGGTCAAATGTGTCCTGTGAAAATGTATGGGAAAAGCCTTCCAGCGAGAGGGGGCTGAATGAATATATGTGCCAATATGTGCCTGAAGCAGATGTATGTGATGTGGTGGGTGAAAATGTGAAGGGACAGCAAGGCTATGAGGGAGGGCAGAGGGTGTGTGAGCTTTACTCTGCGGCAGGCTTAGCCAGTTTCCAAAGTTCGGTATGTGTGATGACCTGGAGTGAAAGTGAGGGGCACGGACAGACTCAGCCTGTGGGTCCAGGAAGGATGGCTGCAGGGAAACATACTGTTGGAGGAACCAGGAACCTTGTCAGTTTATCACAACTCACGCATACACCTAAGCAACTTTCTGATTGTGAACCAAAGGTTCAGAGTCTGATAGCGCAACAAGCCCAGCAGACAGACCGCAAAATGAAAGAGATGATGGGTGTTGATACAGCACATCTATCCTGGGAGAGTTCTCTGTCTGCTTTTTTGTGTGCTTACCGGGGAGTGCTGCAGAAATCCATTGGTTTCTTCCCCTTACAGCTTCTACATGAGCGCAGTGGGTGTGGTTTAAGGGATGTTACCAGAGATCAATGGGAAATTGAAACAGGCAAATCAGGCATGTTTGTTGAGGGTGTAGCTGTGGTATGGCCTGATCACAACCTGCTGCAGGTGACAGGTAACACTGATAAACTGCTCCATTGGAGACCTATCCTCCAACAGTATAATTTCACTGTCCAACACAAAAAGGGCAGCTTGCATGGGAATGCAGATGGCCTGTCTCGGCAACTAGAGGGTTAATGGTAGACAGATAAATCAGCCTGTGGCTGAATTTTTCTGTCCACCATCTTAAGGGGGAGGTGTCATGCCAAAAGCATGAGTTGGTGTTTGATGTGTGTTTATATATGTTAAGAGTTGTTTTTTTGTAAACCTTGGGATGACATTTATTGTGGTCTTTGATCTTGCACCAGGCCTAGACCATAAAACATCTAGATAGCCATCACCAGAGCTGGACACAAGGAATTTCATAGAGTGGGCAATAGACTGCCAGACCAGCCCCCTCTGATCCCCCCCCCCAGGGGTCTGCCCACTGAGAAAGAACTAGTTTAGATATATGAGGGTGTTGGACTATCCAGGGAAGTCAGTTATTCATTTTTCTTTTTGTCAGTAACTTCTAAGAGATCTATACCATCTAAGACTCCCACAAGAATTCTATATGGGGTAAATATATGTAAGGAATTTCTTGTGTTTTCTCCTATTTTATTTTATGTACTGTTTTGCAATTTGTTATCTGTATGTCATTTATTTCTGTATTTCGTACTCAGCACTGTGAATCCTTTTTGTCAGATTAAATGTTTACTTAATCAGCTTGTGTCTCTGTTCTCTATGAGCTTCACTCTCCAGAGGAAAGCTCAGGTAAACACGTTACCAAAAAGGGGTTAACTATATATGTTTTATCAGTAAAAGTAGAACTGTGATACTATAATTCTCCTGTGTGTGGGGTAACCTAAGACGCCCGGGTTTAAAAGTCTTGGTGGTGGCAGTAGAGTAAAGTGTATTAAGGGGGTTAGTGTAGAAGGGATTGCAGGGGTTAATTGAGTGGTTGCTGGGACTAGCAACAGGTAACCAGGGGTCTGGTGTCATTAACCCTGTCACTTCCACACTCTCCCCACTGTCTCGGCTGGGCCTATAGCCCACGCACGTGACAGTATTCATAAAAAGATCACTGAAAAAATATGAATATAAAATGACACCATTAAATAAATAAATATATATATGGATAATAACATAAAAGTGTGAATGAAAAGTTGAGATGTAATGAATGATTAATGAGACTTTAAAAAAAGTAATAGATACTGAAAGTAGAAAAAGATGAACTTGGAAATAAGGTAAAAATGTAAATGTTAAAGAATGGGGGTAGAAATAAATAGTGCGTAGTATAAGGTGAATAAAGTGTGTATGTTGAGATTCTTTTATATGTGTGTATGTATAATTATGTATGTGGTGGGTTATTTAGATGAAATGGCAAAGTTCAAAGTCTATATTCAAACCTTGGGGTCTTAGAGTCCCAAGGTTGAATATCCATTTCATCTCATTCTGTCCTAGTAATTTCAAGAAATCCCCTCCTTGCCAGTTGCCTTGTACCCTCTGTATGCCCATAAATTTCAGGAGTGTGGGGTCGCTGTTGTGTGCTAAGGAGAAATGGTGAGATACACTGTGGCCCTCAAATTTTTTCTTAATATTCCTAGAGTGTTTCTGTATCCTAATATGTAACTTGCGTTTGGTGCGGCCCACATATTTAAGACCGCATGGGCATTCCAACAAGTATATTATATTGTTGGAATGGCAGGTAATGAGGTCTTTGATTTGAAATTCCTCTTTATTATTAAAATTTTGGAATTTTGTGATATGTCTTTTTTTGTTGTTCGTATTCCTACATGCTAAGCATGTGCCGCATCCGAAAAAGCCTTTTTCTTTATCTAAAAAAGTGGTGGTTTTAGTTTTTCTGAAGTGGTTCCTTACTAAAAGTTTGTTTAAATTAGCGGCTCCCCTAAATACTACCCTAGGTCTGGGTGGTAGGATGTGTGTTAGAGTAACGTCCTGTAGTAAAATGGGCCAGTATTTGTTGAAGATTTTTTGTAAGTGCTTTATTGTTATGGCTGTAGTTGCATATAATGGGTAAATTGATTTGTTCTGCACTTACTATTTTTTTTCCCCCTTAATAAAGTGCTTTGTGGGATTTTCGAAACCTGTGCCAATGTATCTTTTAGTTTATCTTTTTCATAACCCTTTTCTAGCAGATCTGATATTAATTTATCTACTTGTTCTGTGAAAGTAGTCTCATCTGTGCAGTTTCTTTTAATACGTATGAGTTGGGACTTAGGTATACTGTTGAGCCATGGAGAGAAATGACAGCTTGAAGTGTGGATAAAACTATTGACGTCCACGTCCTTAAAATGAGTTTTGGTTTTAGTTTGGTCATTCTCTATAAAAATATCTAAATCTAAAAAAGTCACACTGTGTTTACTAAAATTGGTTGATAAAATAATGCCCCACTCGTTGTGGTTGAGTTGGTTTAAAAAGGCATGGAGCGTGGCTTCAGTCCCTTTCCAAATAAAAAACAGGTCATCAATGTAACGGCGGTAGGTCACCAGGCCCTCCACCCAGCCTTCATTCGATTGTAGATGTTAGCAGTCCCAGTCTGCCATGAACAGATTGGCGTAGCTGGGTGCGAACCTGGTGCCCATCGCTGTGCCACATGCCTGTAGATAAAAGGTATCATCATACCAAAAGTAGTTACTGGTTAAAATTAACAGTATTGCTTCCAGGATAAAATCAATTTGGTCAGGCTCAAAGTAATAGGATTGTTCTAAAAAGAATCTTGCTGCTGTGCATCCCTTTTGGTGCGAGATAATAGTGTATAGTGAGCTAACATCCGCGGTTACTAAAAAGTAATCCTGTTCCCATTTAATGGTTTGCAAGTGTCTAAGGATACGGCCTGTGTCTTTAAGATAGCTTGGGATTTTGTACTATAGGTTGGAGACATTTGTCTACATACTCCGAAAGTCTGCATGATATTGAATTGATACCTGAGACTATAGGTCTACCGGGTGGGACTTCGGAGTTCTTATGGACTTTGGGGAGATAATAGAACACAGGGATTTTTGGGTGAGTTATATTTAGGTATTTGAATTCTTTTTTGTTCAAAATCTCCTTCTGTAGGCCCCTCTCAATGAGGGCAGATAATTTATTTTTAATTTCACCTGTTGGATCACCCTTTAATCTTGTGTACGTGGTGTGGTCAGTCAGTAATCTCATGCATTCTATGTGGTAATCTTTGATGTCTAAGATGACTATTCCCCCTCCCTTGTCTGCCTGTTTAATTACAATCTCGTTGTCCTTCTGTAATTTTTTTTAAAACTTTATATTAATCTTTTTTGAGGTTTTGTTGGTAATGGTTGGCTTTTTTTAATTTATTAATATCTACCATCACCATTTTTTCAAAAGTTGCCATTTCTCCTGAAATAAGATGTTTGGGAAAGAAAGTGGATTTTTCTTTTAATGTGGTATGTGTGTATTTTGTTGGAATGGAATTATCCGATGCGGGGTGTTTGTAAAAAAACTTTTTAAGACATAAAGTGCGTTTGAATTTATTTAAGTCCACATAGGTGTCAAATTTGTTTAGATTTCTCGTGGGTGCGAATTTCAAACCTTTTTGTAATAGTTTGATTTGTGTATGATCTAATTGTGTGGAGGTAAGATTGAAAATCCCTGCTTCTTTTTCAATTTCCTTTTGTGTTTTTATGAGTGGCGTTTGTCTCTTTTTCCATCTCTGTGTGTCCACTCCTCCTCTAATTCCCCTTCTTCCGTACTCCTTTGTCTTTTGTTAGGTGATTTTTGGTGTGAGAGGAATTTGTGCTTGTCTTT